AATTTCACCTTTTTACATGAATTAATTGCTATGTCTAACTTAAATTGCTACTGGTCATTGGTGTTAACATAGCATGCTTTCTTTAGTTTCTATTTCAAAATTGAAATGAATAGAACAAAATTGAATTTACAGACGTTATCGAACACGAAAAGAGCGGCGGCGAGTTATTGCGTCAAATGGTCAAACAGTGCCATTACTTTCCACAGAAGTTAGACTTTTTCAATAAACAGAAATAATTTTATGCTTTATTCAATCAGGAAAATTGATATTAAATAAGAAATAGGATCGATAATTGTATTTGAAAAGTTGCTGATATGTTAGATTAAGCATATTTCATCTAATAAAATTATGCTTAATCTGACATCAGTAATGAAATATTTTACCGAAACTTCGATTCAAAATAATTACACATTAATAATTGTAAAATAAAATAGAGGCGTTATTTAGTATAATGTGTGAGGATGAATTTTGTTATCTTTAAGATATAATTTCAAAAAAGCTTTTTTGCTAATACTGAAATTATTTCCGATTAGTTATGTCTGTCTAACTAAACTTCTCATAGATTCTGATTGCACCTGTATCTTTCATTGTTTCAACCGGTTTAATCGATTCATTTAATTTACAAGTAATTGTTGCAAAAGTATTAAATGTAGCATTGATAAAATAGGATGGAATATTTTTAGGCCGAGAAAAATGGGATAGAACAGAATATGCAAGCGCTTTCGTCACGTGTCGAAGATATCCGATCGTCACTTGATCAGAAAGCTGCAGGTATCAATGTTAGAAGATGCAAAAATTGGCTAATTTCAATTCATTCTTGCATAATTTGATACTGAATTTTTAAGCTCGTGGAGATTTCGAAGATGGTTATGTACGTGGCTTTCGAGATGCAAATAAATTAGGCACTGCATCAGCGGCACGTCGACGTATGGATGATGATTACGGTAGTCGAGATGATCGATTTCATGAGGGTTATGTTAAAGGATTGAGGTGTGCATTATTTTGTAAAATTATGGAATTATTTAAGAATGTGAGAAATCATTAGACGTTATCGGGATTATTTTAAATTCTAGTAGTAATCGAAGTCATTTCTTTTTTATGTCAGAGAGAAATTTTGATTATGAAGTAATTTTGAAACTCAATAAAAAGTAGAAGAATATAATATCCAAACTAGCAGCCATGTGAGCAATAAAAATTTCAATCAACTGTAACAATTTAGAATATTGATCGATTCTTTTAGAATAACAGAAGAGTGCCACTTTTGGAATTCTTTCATTAATTTCATTTGAATTCATTGCAGAGATGCCGGAATGACCGGAATGAGCGCATCAATGCATAATTTAGCACAGCGTGGTCAGGGCGCTGGATATTCTTCCGGTTACATGCAAGGTTTCCGAGATGGTAACTCAGGTTTGTTTGGTGATCGAATATCTAATAGTTTATTGCGAAGACTAGAAGAACAATATCCGAATCAAGAAGAATTCCGTACTGGTTATATTGATGGATTCAGGGAAGGTATTGCAAGTCGAACTTCTGGACAAAGAGTGAGAGTTGAAATATTTTTCAAATTAATATGCTTTGCAAATTTTTATTGTTATACTTTTATTTACTTTACTTTTGCATAATATCAAGTTTTATTTTGCATTTACATTTTACTCTTTTAACATTAAAAATATTTGATGCATATGGGTAAGCATTTTTATGCTTATCGTTGTTTTTATGCTTATCGTTTTTTGGTATAGATTTGCTATCATACAATTGAAATGAGCAAATTTACAGAGCTTTGAAGAATCGAGACGGTTGCAAGAAAGTCTTACCAAACTTACTGAAATATTGCAAGATAAATCAAAAGGTGGTGGTGATGAAATACATACTACCAAGATTTATCATGTTTGTAAGTGATTTCGTTTCCCTTTTTATTTTATTTATTTCTTTATGGAATTATGCAGCAATAAGCAATATAAATAATTTTTCATCATTTCGATAATTTAAAATATAGCACTGTTAGTTGTAATTTAATTAATTGCGAAATTTTCTTCTTATCCTTAAATTTAAACTTAAATTTTCTTCGTATTCTTAAATTTAACAGTAATGCATTCTTGTATATATTCCAGATAATCAACAACCGGATGGTGTTGTCGCATCAGCTTATTCTTCTACAACCGGTCGTCAACTGGAACAGGAATTGGAGGAGCTGACATCCTCTTCTAGACGATCCACTCTCAGGCGACATTATACGGTTAATTTTTGATTTTCCATATATAATTAATTATTTTTTACACATAATAATTGGAAATATTTAATTCAAGAAACACTGAAATGAATAGCACGATATCATTTTCGAAATTTTTTTTTGTTTTTTAAGAAATTTTAGGACAAGAAAAGAGCTTTTCAATTTTTTTAAATTTTAGCCAGGAGATTACTTGAAATATGGTAGTGAAGCGGAAGCATATAGTGGTAGCTTAGCAAGGAATCGACGTTCACTTTCCGCATCTGCACTTGGTCGAGAGCTTGCTAGAGGTCTATTTTTCTTCCTTTTTGTTTCTCTTAATTTTTCTGATGAAGAAAAAAATGGATTCTTTAAATTGCTTCATTATTTCAATTCTAATTAATAGGATTACAAAGTAGATTTACAATTTTGAAATTTTTACAAATTCATTAATTTGTTATAAATTCATTAATTTTAATTGATTTCTTCTTGGCATGAGATTTATCATTAGTTAAATGACGTTGAAGATTAAACGTAAAATTGAAATAGCTATTTGACGTATGAGTAAAAATAATAATTGGCAGAGAAATTTTCAAAATCGCAATATATTCACGTGTGGTTTTTTAAAGCTTTTTTTTTTTATTTGACTACTATTAACCAGCGCGTGGCATTTGAAATTAACGTTAAAAGGATTGTTTGACGTGACGTGTAATTTTGCCGGAAAGGAGAAGCATTGCATTGGATGTCAAAATAATTATGAAATTCTTGCATTGATAATAATTATGCTTCAATCTTATCATATCAGAGTTATTTTGGTGCTACTATCCTTTTTTTTGTTTGAAATTTTAAATATTTTCTAATCAAAATTGATAACCGTTAGCCAATTTATTCTAAAGCTTGCTTCTTGTCTTTGAGTTTTTCTTTTTTTTTTATACTTTCATAACTTTCTTAGAAATTATTTTAGTTTGTGCTGTGTGCATTTCTGTTTTGCTGTTTATTTTGCAGAACAGTCGGAACGTTCACGTCTGTATTCCGGTACCGGAACATCGTACATCAGTCGCGCATCGGCTGCCGAAAGACCCATTACGGATACATATTCACGTCGCTACACATATCGTAGCCGCAGTGATATGGGTAGTCCACGCCATTACGCATCGCAGACATTGCTAGACGGGACACGTCCAGGACCTTCAACACCGCACACACGTCGTGATGCACTGCACACTTTACAACGTGAGCTTGATACACTATCACGTTCACCGGATCAGTTAACAGCGCGTGGCTATAGCTCTGATACGGGGTACATGAATGATACAATGCGATCGCGTACCCGTGCATACTCAAACTATGATTATGGTTAGCATGCACTATATCACATTCTTTTTTTAACGTAACACAGATTAGCTGGAGTAAGACGCTGTTCGCGCTATACTTGCACCTTTACGTTATAGCACTTGTTAAAAGTACCGATATGTCATTGTATGTTATTAAAGCACTTTATAATTTAATTAAATGTTTCTTATGGAGAGGTAAGGTTAATTACTTAATTGGATTTGTTTACTTATATATATCGTAATTGTTTGCATCATTATATAACAATAACTTTAGGTATGTAACTTTAGTAAATTTTTCACTTCGGATTTCCCCTTTAAAATTTTTGCTTAGCAAATATATTAGTGCAATCTTAATTTTTCAACCATCAACATCATTCAAAATATAAACTCATACTTAGACATATTTAAACACAAATATTTCAAAGTCTGACTACTTATTATCAAAAACAATCATGCTATATCATTACTCGAATAATAGGGAAATAAAATGCCTATCAGTGATCAAACAAATTTAATGGATGTAAAAATAAATCCAAAAAAAAAAATTCAGTTAAAAGAAAAACAAACGAAAATTGATTGAATAATGATAAAATAATGAATAATTACGAATACTCGTTTTAAAATTTTTTCCTTAAAATTGCTATATGTGCATTAATATCATTGGTAATAAAATTTTTAAGAAAGTGCGATTTTTTCTTTCTTCACTTTAATTTTTTTTTATCTAATGCTACGAAAAAGTTTTTAATAATATATGTATATCCAGTTTTTTTGATAGAAAATAGTATTTAGATGAATGAGATATAATTTGAGAGAGGAATCAATTAGTGAAAATAATTTTATGCAAGATAATTTAAATATAAATAAAATTCACACTTTTTTAGAGAATTCGAACAATGTTTATTTCTGTTAGTTATGCATGCAAAACACTAAATTTCTTTTAAACTTTCCATTTTTTCCTTCTCTTCTTTTTTTTTGCCATCTTAGATTGTTGAATTGATATTAAATTTCAGATACGTATCAAACATCGAAGAGCGAAATGCGAAGTGCGGAAACGCCTGGTGGTGTTATCGGTGCAAGTAGTAGTGGTGCTTCAGCAAGTATTGGATATGGTCCGAGAGCTACAGCATCTACCTCATTTAGTGCCCGTAGAGGAGGTGCCTTTTTCTCTTCTAATGCCTAATAGATAAATGACAAATGCAAATTGAAACTTTTTTTTTTGATGAAAAAGAGTGTATAAAGAATTTTTTTTTTCAATAAAAAAGAGTGTATTTCAACAGAAACAAAATTTGAAATTAGTAGTTATATTAATAAACATATGATGCAGTTAGTAATAATTTCATTTATTCGCTATTATTTGTTCTGATTTTTTTTTTTTTGAACTATTAAATTGTATTTTAAAAAAAGAAAGAAATTTTGACAATGGTGCTTTTCACTGCACATTTTATATGCAAAAAAAAAAATCACAGCTGCACTTTTGCACAGTGCCAATTTTGCTAATTTAACAATTTTCGATGTCATAAAATTGACTTCAAGAACTGTTTGGGTATGATTGTTTGTAATTAAAAATGCTAAGCTTAATTTTAATTTTATTTTATGTTTTGATATAAGAAGATATGACAAATAATTATTTAGGCGCTTATCTATATTTTAATTACAAGATCTGCTTGAACAATGATCAATTGATGACAGAAATGGATCAGACTACAAATAGAAGCATTTTAAAATTGCTGCATTCAATTTGTCATCGGAAAAAACTGACGTACATCAATGCCGATTGCGTAGTGCAGGCACGCAAAAAAAAGTGCACTGTAAATTTGCAGAAAGTGAGAGAGAAGTTGGTAGTGGAAGGACAACAGCTGGTAAATTATCATCGCATAATTGGCCTGATGACCTGATTGATATTGTCAACGAACCGATGGGACAGACATTGGATCGAATGAAAAAATACAGTAATTCATTGTCACAGGTTGATCGAGGTACGCAATGTCCTCGTCTGAACAGTTTTGTAAATAGCCTATGATAAAGAAACTAAATTCAAAATTTATCCTTTTCAATTTGAATTTCAAAAAAGGAGAAATTTTTAATATCTCTTGGTTATACTCTCCACGTCGAGGAACGTATTTGAGAATTTGATGTTATCAAATCATATTTAAAATATTTTTTGGCTTCGCTCAATTTCTTGCTTTCATGTGCGCTTTAAATCTGCACTATAGAATGAGTGATTGCAGCAGTCTTTTTTTTTAATGCTTATACAAAGTACTGAATATATTTTGTGTTTATTTTGTGCGATATTATGCTAATCAAAATTAAGAAAAATTTTTCGCTTTTATATAAGCACGTAATATTTTGTTGAAATAATTTTCGAAGGATTGTTTTGTTGCGCCATTTTTTTTTTATAGTAGTCTTTTTCAAATATGAATTGTGTATTTTTTTGTGATTTTTTGTACTTTTTAAGACTATTTTCTTCTTTATAAAACTGTATTAGTTGGCTTTTTTATCGAAATAAAATGAATATTTTGAGACGCAAAAATTAAATTAATTTTTAACGATTATAGATGGAGTGGAAGAAAGTGGTCCAATACGAGAAAGAGTGGAAGAACGATATCAGCGCTCATATAAGGAAGTATGTTTGATGCTTTTTGTTAAATTTTTTTTCAAATCTTTTTTTATTTCTTATTTCTTATGAAATGTAATTTTAAGCAAAAGTGAGCGAAAGTAAAAAGAAAAAAGGGAACTTAATTAACATCATTGTTTTTTTTTTTTTTTGGTTTGGAAGAATTTCCACTTTTTTGAACTCGATTTATTTATTTTCTAAATTACTAAAACAATGTGAAAAATATAAATTGAATGGTCACTTACGGTCATTTCATGTAACATTTTTTGGGTATGATTGCAGTAATTAGCACATTTTGAGTTCACTACCTGTTGATTTTAGTAACTGAAATGCGTTATTGTCCTTTCTCGACCATATCTTAAACTGTCCTTTCTTGACCATATCTCAAACTTCCAGGTAATATATATCCTATCCTTTACATCATTGCCCAATCATTTTACTTTATTTTTGGGAAAAAATTTGAAATTACAAGAAGTTTATAAATTTTGTAATAATTTCAGGAATATACAACAGGAAGGCGATAAGCTGATATATGAATTCAATAAAAAAAAAAGAAGCCAAAATATTCGTTATTATTAGTCGGACATTTTTTCTTCTTTTCCTAAGAAACTAATTATTTTGAAAGATATAAATAATTGAATAAAAAGTTGATATGGTATACGGTGCTCGATGATAATGGTTGATACTGATATTTCTGCTTCAGTACTTCTTGTTCCTCCTGATACCCAATTGTTTCTTTATTTCTCGAAATATCATTGCATTTCTATACATAGAATCGATTTTTTCATTTTTTTTTTTTTTTGTTCTCTTAGAACTGTATTTTATTATTGTCTTCATTTGATCATAATTTTTTTTTTTCTATATCATATCAATTTAACTATCATCATATAGGTACTTTCTTTTTTTTTTTTACAAATAAACGATTTGTAAAATTGCTATCTTCCCCGATCAGACAATGTTTTATTTTAATTTAATTTCGTTAATTCATGCAATAATTAAAAATGATTGTAAAATTTCCTTATTCCATTAATAATAGCACTAAGGCGATTTTATCGATCATATTTGTCATGTATGTTAAATTTTTATTTTTTATTTCTAAATGTTTAATTTAATGATGTTGCTAATTTGCATCATTAATAATTGTCGATGATTATATCCTTAATTACGCAACTAATTAAACATCATTGCCAGTACTCTTTTGCTATTGCATACAATTTCTCATAATAATCACTGTCACTTATTATCCTATTTGAAATTTATATTTGCTCACATTTTATTTTCAATTTGATTTTTAAATCTTTTTTCTAATTCTTAATGAACTTAACTTTTCATGGATATTAATTTCTTTTTTTCATTTTTGTTATTTTTGCATACTGTCGCATTTCAGAAAAAAAAAAGTAAAAACACCATGCATAATCTTTTTTTTGTGTCAGTATGTTAATTATGATAATTTTGATTAATAAATGTTAATGATGTATTATTGATTTTATTATTGTGACTGCTATTTGATCATTTGTGATCCTTTTTTTTTTTAATTTCTCTTCTCCAGTACTGCTGCCAATTCGTCCTTAGATCAATTTTTAGATCTCTGAAGTAAAATGAAATAGAAAAAATTATACTTTGAACGAGTTGAAATCATAATTTAAATGGATGTCACATTTCAATGCATAATTATATGAATGAAATTATTTAAAGAAAAAATGAAAAAAAAAAATCACTTTACAGAAATTTTTCTTTTTTTTTCTCCCAGAATTTTTGAACTTTCAACAATTTGTTAAAGGAAATGAAATGTTTGGTATGCTGAGTTAATTCTTTTTTTTTCTTATTTTTCTTCATCGTTCATCAAATTATTTAAATTTATATATCTTTTGAATAAAATGAATACGGTTGTTGTTATTCAGAATTACACCACTGATTGTTATTAATCAATTTAAGGTGGCATTAAAAATGTATTTGCCATAAAATAAGAATGTCAATAGTATTTGGATAATCCGAAAATGAAATGATAACTGGGAATTACATTTATTTTTAATGGAGTAATTTAAAAGGAGTTGACAACAGTTACTGAAAAATATTGAAATTGAACCGGAATGATATACTGCTAGACTTCGATGTGGTCATTCAACTATAAAGGATACGAATAAATCTTGAATATTAAGTACATTCTGTACTCAGCCATGCTTTTTTTTTATTAAAGGTTAATCATATTTTTTGTGAAATTCATCTCCTATTGGAGAATGATCAGTTGCTATTATTAAATACTGAAATTATTATGAAATATTAGGAATGAATTTTTATGCAGTAATTTGTTTTGAATTTGTTTGCCAGTTTACATTTGAATAGCTTAATTCTAATAAAATCTAGAAAAAAAAAACTGGCTGAAGTAATATTTGCATAATAGATGATCTGCTTATGATCGTGAACTTGGATAATTATTACTTTTCATCGAACGATCATTGCTCAACTTTTATTACCTTCTAACTCATTGAACTTGTTGACCCCATTTAAATCACTATCCTATCCTAACCATTTTTCCACTTTTGAGTGATTGTGCTCGATGGTGTAATGGTTTCACGAAGATCAACAATACTTGTTGAAATTTGACAAAGTTTTCAAATGATAGGGAAAAACATTATTTTTGAATATTCATCATTCTCTATCACTCCATCCATACGTATTATTAATTCTTCCTAACCTGATGATAACCTGATAATGAATCATCGTTACTGGACATATCAAAATTGATCATTCGATTGACAATTGTCTACTTGAAAACATGATATTCCATCAATCAATCAGTTGCCAATATTTTTCTGAACAGCAGCACTAAGAATATAAAAAATTTGCATAAAATTAAAAAAATACGATATAGAAAGAAACCAGAAGAAATAATTCTCATTGTTATGTGATTGAGGAGATCAGAACGGTGATTGTTATCCCTTCTAATCATTCATAACCTTCAATTCATCTAATCAATGCTTACTTATTATCAATCGTATCTTCTAAGAGTTACCTATGGCGATGATATTCATTCTATTTGCAATATGCAAATGAGATCTGATCATAATATCATTCCTTCATTTATCTTATTTATACTGCTATCTCTTCTGACTTTTATTTTATCATCTTCATTTTTTTGATGCTACCCATTTAATTATGATTACATCAATTGCTTATTTCTTAGTAACTATCGTTTTTAATTTGAAAAATTCATTTATTTCATTTTTTATTTACTTTTAAATTCTAACTTATACATTCACTTATTTATTTGTTTATTTTCCTTTCATTTTACAGCACAATGTACTGTCCAATTTGTTTGGAAATTGATGATGGAAAGTTTGCCTTTGCAGCATTGTTATGTGGCCATGTATTTCATCGGAATTGTATCTCTTCATGGCTAACGGTTCGTATGTCATCCATGATTTGCATATTGTTAACATTACAATATCATCGATCCATAAATCCCTTGGTTGAATAATTTTACATTCAGACATTACAGTATTGAACAAAATAATATTATTGCTGTAGGTTAGAAATTTTCATAATTGGATCAATTAAACAATTGTTAATTAAATAATTGACTAAAATTTTGAAAATGCTAAATAGCTAGAGTCTTTGAAGTAAGCGGAGGAAAGGTTGTAAATTCAGATAGTACCTTTCATTTCACAAATCAACGAGCATTTTTTTTTTTTTTGAATGGATTAATTTGTGATAAATGAATTGAGTTCAAATTTTATTCCATCTATAATTTTAATTGAATCATTTCAGGTTGGTAACGGAACAAAGTTCTGTCCGGTGTGTCGAAAATATGCTGATGGCTATCTGAATTTATATTTTTTCAATAGTCCTACAGTTAGTTATTTTATACTAATTTTGCTCCAAAATTGAATTCTATGAATTTCGAAAGTCAACGAAAGTATTCGTTCTGGATTCAATATCCAAAAAATGCTAAATGATATTTGAGATGCGAGAAGAAACAAAATTAAGCGTTGTAGATGAAATTCCAAAAAAAAAATTTTTTTTTTCAATAAAACAATAATTCCAAAATCTTTTTTAGTGTACGAACTTAACTAATTTCTTTATAAATGCTATGAATGTACACGCATACTAAACATGTACACATCCACACACAGACACACTCACACACACATACATTCACACAGAGTGTCACAAAAAGTAATGGTACATAAATCATGATAATTAATTTAAATATTTGCAGAAAATTGACATACATTCTATTA